TTCATCCACCTCTCTTTTGTTGTAACAGTTTAAATCCGCCGCTTCCTGCGGTTCCCTCAATATTTTCCGTTTAAGTTTTTTTTTTAGGGTGAGTTATTTATTATCCAAATTGAGGGTGTAAGGACAAAAGGAGTCATGTGCTGTGCAGACTGCAAAGCCCCTTGGGGATAGTTGTGATTTTTTATTTGGCTTGTACAGTAGGAATAAAATTGACTTGACCTCTTAAAAAATGTATTAATCGAGGGGCTACAAGGCTGAGAACAAAACCGGGAGTTATTTTAGAGCTAAACTCAACGCTGTGTTTCCTTGTGAAGACTTTTTTAGTATGAATCTTTTAACTTGTAAATCCGCTTTGGATCTGACTCCACGAAAGGTTGGAGCCTTTACACACACACGATGTGGAGCAGCAGAACATCTCTCTATCGCTCCTGACCCGGGGAACGGCAGCTTGCTCCTGTGATGTTTCAGTTTTTTTTTTCCTGTAACTCTCTGTGGGTTTTATTGCCGGTGGGCTGCATTATCAAACCCCCGCCTCTCCTCCCTCCCTCCTCCTCCCCCCCGCAGGGCCCTGGGGGTGTGTGAGGCCAGCCCCCCTTCCCTTTTGGTAGTTACCTTGGTTTGATGCTGGGCCCTGTAGCAGCCGGGTTGGAGGGCTGAGGGGGGGCGGTCAGCGTCCTGCGAGGAGTCCTCCGGGGTTCCTCCCTGGTCTGGGAGGCCTGGAGCGGATCACAAAAAGGAGGCATGAAATATTAAATGGGCAGGGCAGGGATAGAGGTCTGCCCAACAACACACACACACAAATATAAAGAAACACACCAACAGCCAACGCGGACATACATACGAAAACCATGAGCTCACACTAAACACCCAGTTTTTTCCCTCAACCAACTGCTTGAATTTTCTTGATGTGTGGTGCATGTGTGTGAGAGTGTGAATTGTAGGTGTGTTGTTGTTGTGTGGGTGTGTTGTGTGTGGTGTGTGTGTGTGTGTGTGGTGTGTGTGTGTTGTGTGTGTGTGTGTGTGTGTGTGTGTGTGTGTGTGTGTGTGTGTGTGTGTGTGTGTGTGTGTGTGTGTGTGTGTGTGTGTGTGTGTGGTGTGTGGTGTTGTACCTGTGTGTACTGTGTGTACGTGTATGTTTTTCTCAGGCTCCACCTATTGGATTTTTTGGGGTGGAGGAACGTGACTGTGGGACTTGTCAACTTCCAGAGACACACAAACACTTCAATACAACATCGATGGAATGATCATTAAGGGTTTTGCCAGGCAACAAAACCTGCGCAGGTAGCTCTACAATTACAGTTAAAAACGCAAAAGTATATTGTGGTCTGATATCTTGTTAAAGTAAACCACTCCTATTGTTTTCTCACTGCTCCATGTGTTTGTGTCACTTGTATTTCAGATCAGAGTTTGTGATTTCTTTTTTATTTCTAGCTTCATTTTCAGATGTAGTGGCCTTTCCATTCTGCCTNGTGAATAAAAATGATATTTATGAGTGTTAAACAAACTCAGACAAGAGCAGAGAATACTGGACATGTGTGAAATTGCTGCTGTTCCGTAGCAGTCTGTTTGTATTCTCTGCTCTTGTCTGAGTTTGTTTAACACTCATAAATATCATTTTTATTCACATTCACATGGCTTTTCTGCTCTCTGGTAAACTAATGATAATGATATTCCAACTGCCCAGTTAAATCAAATCTATTATTTGGCATTCAGTGACATGCTTTTTAAATGATATAACACAGAATATTAGTCAACATTAATATTCAGGGAAGAAAATAAGTCTACTTTTTTTGATGGGGGGCGGTAAGAGACCTGGATAATGGACAGGGGGGCGCTGGCCCAAAAAAGGTTGAGAACCCCTGATTTAAATGAATCTGGCCCAAGCGAAACAACAAGGATGCATGTAGCTATAGCAGCATTTGGCGAAGCAGAGCATGTGAGGCAGGTCCAGCAAAACACTTTTTGAGGTAGAGCAAAACAGCAGGGTCTCTGTGAGCGCTAGTACTCGGATAATTGGCAGTAGGTTTTAAAAACACACAATAATAGACAGAATTAATATTAAAAAGACGAACACTTTGCAGATTCACCCGTGATGCAACCAACGCTACTGCTAACATATGTGCGCCAGTGACCAGGGTTGCGATCGAATTGTCAAAAGAACAGCTCCTATCGTCTTTTCCTAACCACTATTCCTTGGCCTCTGTGTGAAACGTCACAGGATTAAGGAGTAGTGATTAGGAGAATTCAAAAGGACTCAGGAAAGGACGAACGGGCTTCAAGAGAATCCGAAGAATAAAGAAGAATCCGACTGCACTTGCACTATCCGACATATTCGTGATGAATGAAGTGGAGCTTATTAATGTGCGTGTTGGGAAACTACAGTTTTCTGTNCGGATTTGCAAAACTTCAGAATTTGATTTGACCGCCATTCAAATGACAGTGTTGTTTTCCCCCAAAAGTGGGCGGGGCCGTAATTTTTGCCCGGAAGTGACGTAGGTGTTACTCTCATCTATAGACTAACGGCCCCTAAACACGGCGGCGTGCGTTGCCGCTTCAACGCTTCTGCCCATTCACTTTGAATGGGGTGACGTCACGATTCGCCAAACTGCATTGTGGGAGCAAAACGTAGCTTCTCTCGCGGTGCTCGCTGCAAAAGTAGAGCAATGTTCTACTTTTGACGCCTCTACGGAGGCGTCAGCCAATCGAATCATATGCCAGTACAAGCTCTAGCCAATCAAACGGCATGCTTGTGTGTCTGGGGCGGGAGATTCATGGGATTGGTTGTTGGTCGAGTTTCAGCCCCCCCCGCCGGCAAGCGGCAACGCACGCCGCCGTGTGTAGGCTCCGTAATAGATATTATATCAACTACAAACATCCTGGAGGCATCCTTTTAGATGATGGTGCCAATGCTTTAATTATGTCATGTGGGTTTTTAGACTCCTAAATAATACTGTTCTCGTCAACATTCATATTTAATTGAGACTGCAAAACTCTGGGAAGCCCTTCAAGGTGTTTCAACACTTTAATGTATTGGCAATGCTAACAAAAATACAGTGCAATACTGACCATGTTATATTGTGACATTACATAGCTTTCCTTAAAATAAACTGTATTTGACTTATCGATGATAACATTTAACTGCTTTAGTTTGAACTTGATCTGAGTTTTGCTGCGTGAAGTTACAGCGACCTGATTTCTCTCTACGTTAGCTGTGAATATTAAAAGATTATCTGCATATTGGGTTGTTTGAGAGTGTTACTCAGCATCAATGGTAGTATGACAATATAATGATGTTACCACCCACATCCAAGCCTTTTCTAGAGGACACTGTCCTCGATTATGATTGGACCAAGGCCTTAAGTAGATGATTCAAAACACAAGGTGAAGGAGTTGTATTAAACTCCTCATTCAGCAGATTTTCATTTTGAATGTATGTTTCTGCTCTGATGCTTGCGACCTGCTCTCATCTTCTTTGTCTCTCTCTGTCCAACACTGCATGGCTTCAGCCTGCTGACTTTACAAACACTTCTCTCCAATATTTCTTTCTCTGTTCTTTCAGTCAATGTCTCTTTTGTGTTTATGCGTTTTTTTCTAAACCCTCAATTTATGGGATGTTGCTATTTCTCTGATGTGTCCCTGATGTGATTTCTCTGTTTGTATTTCAGTTTTTCTAATGTGTAACTGTAAAGATATGTACTGTCTATGACTGCATTGAGATGTCCTTCGTTACTGAAATCCTTAATTGCCAAATACCCTTGAAAAACTACACAGTAAAAAGGTTTCAGATTTCTGGCCCTAGCATAATGAAAAATCTAATCGATATACCAAATAATTTTCCTATCGAATATGGGTTTAATAATCAGCTTGTGCCTGAAAGTCTGAAACCTTAACCCTTATGTTGTGTTCGGGTCTCCCGTGAACCGTTTCAAGTTAAAATCATATAATAACTACGCCTTAGTTTATTTTTTTATCGGAACAAGGCTTCATGATATCCTCCACAACAGTTATATAAACACTACAAAACAGATTTTGACAATTTATGCCAAGTCCGAAGGTCTCGAAATAATTTAATAATTTGGTGCTCGGGTCTGGGGAGACCCAGCAGAATTGTTTTGGGTGACTTGAGGTCAAATTTGGCCCAATCAAGATTCATCTTTGACTTTAGACACCCCTCCCCCACCCCCTTCATCAACTGTAACAATATTTTTTTCGCAACATGCACCTGGTCTCGTATCACACCTCTTGATTTAGGTTTGGAGGGAAATCTTACATAGCTTATTGCCAACTTTAGCGGAAGCAATGGATAATAATAATAATATATAAACTTAACACAAAAAGTAAGGCAATTTGTTTTTTCGTAGATTATTCCTATGTTGTAACAATGCTTTTTGGCAATAAACGTATACCGTTGGAAAGCCTGTTTTCTTACCTTTCCAATGGTGCCACATTTGTGAGGAACAAGCATTTGTGGGATGAGCAGCAGAGCTGAGTATGTGGGGTGCGCCCATGACCAATGTGACAAATCTCCTCTGTCAATGCCAGACTCTAGTTTGGTGTTGTTTGGTGGATTGGATGATTGAAGTCTGATAAATGAAGACATATTGGCACCAATTGATTGACTAATAATGGATTCATTTAACAAGCAGCCTCAGTAGTGTGTGGAAGAACCATACACAGCCACAACAGCCTACTTTTTCTTTGATTTGGACTTTCAGCATGTTATCTTTCCTGCAGGGCCTGTTGCTGATTTTGCCAGAGCTGTGTATGTAAACAACACTGTATATGCAATATGTATTAATTTATTACATCCTTAATTGATAACTATATCTTTTCCATGATACATGTCTTTTTAGTTTCTTTTCTTGTGTGTTTCTTGTTAATACATTTTCTTCTTCCCTGCTGCCTGACTGCGTATCTCTACTTTCTGTTTTGCTTTGTTTAATGTGATTATATATTCCTAACCTGGTCTTTCCTTCTTGCCCATTTCTCTCCTTCTCTTCCTTTGCAACCTTCTGTAGCTGCCACAGCCAACACCAGCACTCTTCCCACTGTTACCACTGCCCCCCCTGCTGCTTTTCATAACATCCCCTCAGTCAACGAAGGTACAGACTGAACTGACGGGTAGCACTTAAGAAAACTCTAAGGGCCATTCTCTCTCTTCCTAGATCTTCCTTCTACATCCTTTCCTTGGCTCTTTCCATTTGTTCCTTTGCCATTTTTGTTGTAAATTCTTTCACTTTTCATTCCTATTTACTTAGTTCTCGCTCTTTCTGTCTCCCTTGATGCCATCACAGTTCTTCACTTCCTCTTATTTCTCAGTTTTTTCCTGCTCATCTCTTGAGTCTTGCTCCCTATTTTATTGCATTAGTCTTGCTTTTATAACTGCAGCAAATGTTAGGCTTTCATCTCCGGTGTCTTTTTTGCTGTGTCTTTGTCCTTGTCTTGTTAAAGAACCCTGTGTTTCTCTGTCTGTCCATCATAGCTGAGTTCAGTCCACTTTCAATTCCTTCAGATAAAGAAATTCTCAAAAGTAGAATGCTGCCAAACATGACGCAAAAACATTTTGATCATTGGAAATTAAACCAGTGTTTCCTGGCATATTTCTATATATAAAGAAACATATATATAAAAGGGTAGACAGCAACCAGACAACAAACTCAAATCAAAGGTAAAAACAAATGTACCCAAGTTTTCTAGTGCAGCAAAAATTGGTGAGATAAAGTGCGGTGTCATCAGCAAACAAGTCGACTTTTTTTAACTGATGGAATTGAGAGTTCATTGACAACGTTCCTTGCGCCCTTTTTTGTTGGCAGCATTGGGCAACCCTGTCCTGTGTTTTCTGTCTCTGTCTGTCTGAATGTCCATCTGTCCCGATGGTTCAGTGTCTCTATGCTCACTGTTTGCATGCTTGCTATTTCCATCTGATGGAATGTGGAGTGTGACTCTGGAGGGAAAAAAAGCCAATGAAAACTATTTAAAAAACCAAATACTTACAAATCTGGTTTGTGCAGAACGTCCATCTGACAGTGTGCTACTGAATTTTGAATATGTTGCAAAAGTTGTGTTTGAAGCTATGTAAACTTAAAACATGTATTGTAAATAGGGCTGTCAAACGATTACAATTTGTAATCAGATTAATCACAGCTTAAAATTAATTAATCATGATTAATCACCATTCGAACTATGTCCAAAATATGCCATTTCTTTATGTATATTGTTGTGGGAATGGAAAGATTCTGCGTCAGGACTTCCTGCAACAACACCACGCCGTTATCTTGATTCTGATTGGCCAGAAGACATTATCAAAGATGTTCTATGGAGAAGACGATCACTACGTGACAAAAGTTTTCAAAACCGTTTCTAGTCTTCGGTATTTCCAGACAAGTGGCTACTGAAATCAATCTTACTAACTGCTGTCTGTGTGATTTACTCCGCGCGAGTTGGCAGACTTTATTTTGCTTACTTTAACATCATTTTTCATGGTGGGGCTAAGCCATTTATTGGTATGGCTGTAGCTTACCCCAGCCATACCCTGACCGCAAATACCTCATTCCTACTTGTATCCGAAATGCTTCTCGTTTTGCGCTGTCCTCCCGTTCAAATGAAATCGCCCAATCATATTTCCAAGCTCGCGCCGAGGGGGGGGGAGGGGTTACAAGGCTCGCGTCTTGTGCTGCATTCACTTGCACTTGGACATTAGAGATTTTCTCTCATAAATGTCCGATGAGCCACAACTTTTCTTTCAAAACAAAGCTGCCAAATGGGGTGGCAGCTGGGGTGGCAAGGCATTTTTCTGAGGTGGCAGCTGCCACCCCGTGCCACCCCGTAGAACCGCCACTGTGTGTGCCTTACTTTGACCTATCCGTTCGCTGTTATTGATCATTGTGGAGAGCAGGCAGACGTTTGTTTTTTTATTATAGCAGCTATCGGATGGAATCCATACATGGGCTGCACCTGCACAGGTTGAAAAGTATAAGGTTGGAGAAGTCGTTATTTAATTTAATCTGGCTTTGCTTTAAAAGCAACACGATCATCGACCCGACG